CAATAAACCCACTCCTTCTACTTGTAATTGTCTGTCCTTAGACTGGTGAGATCATTTTCATTAACCCAAGAAAGCTGCCCAGATCCAGAGGGAGAAGCAGAAATAAAGAGCCAAGAAACCTTTTGGGATTTTCTTTACTATCCTTACCCACCTACCTACCTCCCTCTCTCCCTCCCTCTCTCTCTCTTTCTCCCTCCCTCTCTCCTTCTCTCCCCCTCCCTCTCTCTCTCCCTCTCTCTATTTTCTCTCCCTCTCTCTCTCCCTCCCTCTCTCTCTGTGTGCTGCACTATGAAAAAGAAAGAGAAGGCTGGACACCCTCTGCCTCTTAAGAAAAGATTCTTCTACCTGCTCAGCTTCCACAGGCTTTTAGCAGCAAAGGGCTCCTTGGCTTCCGGCATCTTAACAATTAACACATTTCCTTCAGCCAAAACCTTTCTGGCGCTGGCCCAGGGTTCCTCCTGCCAGGGCAGATTGGCCTGTGTTTAAGATGCAGCCGGGCTCTTTGTAGCGTCTGCATTTCGCCTCCTCTGACAGTGATAAGGCATCGGTAATTTCCACCTGGGTGCTGGTGAGAGGGAGCTGGCGTCCCCTCCCGTACAGAAGATGGGCAGGAAATAGAAACCCAGGCAGGTCCAGGCGCTGAAACTTCATAAAGTTATATCAGACGCGTAATCTGATTTCCTTTTTGAGAAGCAGCTTGGCTGATGATTTGCGTGGCGAGAACAAAGTCAGCACCAACTCAAAGCCAAAATGGCCTTTGGCAGAAGCTGCCACCTGAGCCAGGAGCTATGTGGTCCCTCCGAAGGCGGCTTCTCCTCTGAAGAGCCGGCAAAAGGGGAGGCAGGTTGAGTTGACTCTCTGCCATCCTCTGGCACAGGTGGCAAAGGGCCATGGCACTGCAGGAGCTGGAGTGCGCCCAGTTGCTGCCCCTAACAGGCCTTGCAGATCCCTGGCCCACAGCACAGCTGGAGGCTCCTTCAGCTGCAGGTCCAGGAGAGACTCACCTGTCCCCCAGCGGTCACCTTCCACAGGAAAGGCCCAATCCTGCCCCAGCCGCTCCTGGATAAGCAGGCTTGGTGGTGCCTCTGGAGAGAGGGGGGGGCGCCCAGGGGAGCCCGGTGGCCAGGCGCCTGCCTGCTCCTTTTCAGCCACCCTCCCCATCCCGCCAAGTCCCGCGGGTGTAGATAGGTGAGCGAGAGCAGCAGCCTCTGCTGAGCAGCTCTGCCGGCCCCACCCTTGCTCCCCCCTCCCCCCGCCAAGCCTCCCTTCGAAGCTGGGATCGGTGCCCGGGAGGCTCTCATGAGCGTTTCCCCGGCATTCCGCTCTCCCGGACGGCTCTTGTTCCTCGAAAGTTTAGGCGAAGTTTTCCTTCTTTCCCAGCCGAGGCGCAGGATGACCGAGCCCGCTTTCGGAAGGGAGACGCGCGGAGGGCCCGTCCGAAGAAGCCAGAGCCAAAGCGGNCAGAATTCCCCAGCCAGCATTCGCTGGCTGGGGAATTCTGGGAGTTGAAGTCCGGACATCTTCAAGTTGCCAAGGTTGAGAAACACTGCCCTAAGCCAAACCCAGCTGCTCGGGCTGCATCTACAGCAGCGCCCCCAGCAGGCGAGGAGGGAGGCTTGCCGAGAGTGGGGGTAGCCCACTTCTGAGGCCAGCCATGCGTTGCTGCCTTGGGGCCCCCAAGATGCCAGGCCAGCATCCTCCGGCCCTGGGGGAGGGGGTGGGGTGAGGAGGCCGGACCCTGGTCAGTCCAGGGGTCCTGAAGGTCCGTCTCCCGCCTGCAGTGTGTCGTCTTTGACTACGACTCCCGAGGGAAACACGACTTCATCGGAGAGTTTTTCACCACTTTCGAAGAGATGCAGAAAGCCACGGGGGGCAACAAGGTTGGTGCGCAGGGAGGGAGCCAAGCACACAGCCCCCTCCCCCGGGGATCTCCACAGCTGGGGAGGGGGCTTCCTGGAGAGAAAGCAGCCCCCCACAGGGGCTGGATGGGGCTGGTCAGCAGGGATAAAGAGAGAACCCTTTCGCCCCCTTCCCCATCAGATCCAGTGGGACTGCATGAACCCCAAGTACAAACTGAAGAAGCGGAATTACCGGAATTCGGGCGTGGTCATCCTCCTGGACCTGAAGGTAAGTGGCCGGTCCATGGGCCGGCCCCTCGTCACCAGTGGGGGTGCGGTGGGGGCTGAGCAAAGGGGAATCTAGGGAGCAGAGGGGTGGGTGATGGGTCTGCTATGAATACTGGTAACCCAGACAGGCTCTTGCCCCCTCCCCCATCCCATCTGAGGGCTGCAGCAGACCGGGCCCCTCCTTGTAATTCTGCCCACTGGGCTGCAGACCTCTTGCCCTATCTTGGGCACAGAGCTGGGCTGGCAGGAAGCAGCTCTCCTCTCCTCTGCTTCTGGCTGATGCCCGGATTCTCTGGAAGATCCACAGGGTTTACTCCTTCCTGGACTACATCATGGGCGGCTGCCAGATCCACTTCACGGTGAGTAGCTGCACCCAGACTCCCCGGCTGGCCCAGAGCAGGCCGAGGGCCTCTGGAGCCAGAGCCAGGCAGGGGCACCTCTTAGGATCTGGGGGCTTGTTTATCAGTTCCTCCTTTTCCTGCTTAGAGATGGGCCCACCGTTGGCTCTTGCCCTGGCAAGGGAGAGGCTGAGCACCCGGGGAGGGGCCGCGGGCTTTGGGAAAGTGGGCTTTATCTTGGCCCTCCAGGCGGGCTGGGCCCCTGCCAGCCTCTTGGTCCCCTCCGCTTCTGGCCATGGCGGTTGGAGCGCCCTGTTGGCAGCCGGCACAGATTCCTCTCTTTCAAAACAAGAAGCAGGCGGCAGATTGCGTTTTGAAAGAGCATCTCCTTCCTGGAGTGAGTCAGTTCCAGAACATGGCAAGGAACAGATTGCTGGCTCGGGGCCCGCTTTGCTCGCGAGGGCATGCGCCGGGCAGCATCCCAGGAACGAGAGCCCCTCACCCGCAGGAGGTGGGCGCGTGGGCAGTGGGCGAAGAGGGAGGGAGAGAGACGGCGGCGAGTCCTGCTTCACTCCGACTTCAGGGCTGAAGGGGTGAAAATGGCCCCTGCGGGATTCTTCCCGTTAGTTGATGTCCGTTTCTCTTCACTCCCCCAACCCAATTGGGGCAGGGACCCATCTGAGGAAGTTCTCCTCTGCCTTTCCAGATGTTATGCCTCTCCGGGGGGGGGGTTTCTGTGCCTCCTCATCTCAGACCCCGTGTCAAATGATGGGGAGGCCAGGGTCTGCCCCCCCTTGATTTCGCCCCAAAGCTAGGGAGATCCCCCTGCTGAGTCCCTGACCCCTCGGCCTCTCTCCCCACCCCCAGGTGGCCATTGACTTCACAGCCTCCAATGGGGACCCCCGAAACAGTTGCTCCCTTCACTACATCAACCCTTACCAGCCCAACGAATACCTGAAGGCCCTGGTGGCCGTGGGGGAGATTTGCCAGGACTACGACAGGTGACATTGGGGAGGGGGGGCAGGGGGGATCTTGGTGTTGACAGGCTCTGCGGGACTTTGCACTCAAGGGGGAGGCTCCCTCTGACCCCCCACCCGGGCCAGCTAGCGTGCTCATCCCCATCTCCCCCTCCCACCATGGCCAAATCGTTGGGGAAATCCAAGAGGGGGTCTTGGGTGAGGGGCTTCCAAGCCCTTTGCAGACAGAGTGACCGGTTTCTGCCTCTCCCCAGCGACAAGAAATTCTCCGCCTTGGGCTTTGGAGCAAGGATCCCCCCCAACTACGAGGTAAGTCAAGGGACCTACGTCGAAGGAGACAAGGGGTGGGGGGCAGAGGCATCCTGGCCCCCATTGGAGAGGCGCTTGGGCGTTGTCCCTGTGGAAGGCTGGGCCCCCAGTGGGTGAGCTGCCATCACATCATCCCAGCTGCCTCTTNGGGGGGCAGAGGCGCTGCGCTCCAGCCAAGTTGACTTGGGAAGGGCGCGCTCTCCGCGCCGGCTTCTTCCGCAGCCGAGGCTCCTTCGTGGGGCCGCGTGGGAGCCCCGCACTCCGCGTGTTTTTCCCTCCAGAGCATCACCGCGGCCGCCAAGCGGCCAGGGGCCCCGCCGGGAGCCCCTGCCCAGGCACGGAAGGCGCAGCCGAGAAGCGCCCTTTGGGGCAAGGCGGGCGGAGCGCTCAGGACGCGCAACCGGAGCTTGAAATCATCTGGGCCGGGAGAGGGAGTCTCCCTGGGCATCCCAAGCGCAGCGTCCCTTCCCGGGCCTTCTTTCGGGGCGCTCCCCTGCCCAAGCCGGGCCCGGCAGCGGGGAAGGGGGGGAGGGGGCTCTCTATGTTCTACCTCTCTCTGCCAGGCTGAGCCTTCTGGGCTTGGTGGTCCCGGGTGACGCGGCCTCTCTGTGCCTGCAGGTGGAGAGGTCCGAAGTCATCCGGAGCAACCTGAACCCCGTCTTCGCCAAGGTCTTCACGGTGGACTATTACTTCGAGGAAGTGCAGAAGCTGCGCTTCGAAGTCTACGACATCCACGGGCATGGCGGCCCGGGCACCCACGATGACGACTTCCTGGGGGGCATGGAGTGCACGGTGGGGCAGGTAAGGCGAGGGGAGGGGAGGGGGCAGGGGCCGGGCTCTGGGCGCCGAGGCCTCGACGGTCAGCTGGCCTAATCTGCGAAGGAGCCCCTCGGAAGAGGCCGCCCCGCCTTACAGCCCGCTGCGCCTCGAGGAGGGCAAGACTCTGGTCTCGCTCCCGGCAGAGGGGCGTCCCTGGCAGGCATCGGGTTGGCCGGCAGGAGAGACCCCCGCGGCTGCAGACTCTGCCCCCACCGCGAGGCTCAGGGCGCCTCCTTCTCCGCCGGGTAGGGGGCCAGGCTCGGAGCAGCGACGGCGGAGAAAAGGCTCCCCTCGGTGGGCCCAGCCTCGCCTTCCCAAGAAGGGTCCCGTCCGCCCACCTTTCTGCTCCTCCTTGCAGATCGTGGCCCAGAAGCGGGTGAGCAAGCCGCTCTTTCTCAAGTACGGGAAACCCGCCGGCAAGTCCACCATCACCGTGAGTGCCGCCCCCCCCCCCCCGCGCGGAAGGTTGGAAGTGGAGGCTGGGGGGATCCCCTGCCCGACAGGGCGGGGCCTCTGAAGGAGCCTCTCTCGACCCTCTTGACAGGTGACCTCGGAGGAGATTTTTGGAGACAACGGCTTTGTGGAGCTTTTCTTTCGGGCAAAGAAGCTGGATGACAAGGTGGGGGAGGGGAGGGGCTGGCTCTTCTCCCTTGCGGGAGGTCAGCCTGGGGAGGGGAGGGTCGGTGTGGCCACCCTGGGCCTGAGAGGGGCAGGCAAGGGCAGAAAGGAATGGCCATGCTGCCATTCAGACAGGTGAGGGGGGATAAATTGGCCTGGACAGGTGAGTGCCAGTACAGCCCCCACCACCAGGGTCCCCCCCCTCCCCAGGAGCAGGCAGGGCCCAGTTTGGGGAGGAGACGGAAGCAGCTGCTCATCCCTCTGTCTCCCACCATCTGCTCAGGAGCTGCAGGGGAGGGGCAGGTGGAGCAGCAGCTTCTATGAGGAGTGAAAAACTGGCATCAGGAGCAAACATCTAGCAAACAGGCTCTCTGTGCCTCTGTGTGTGTGTGTGTGTGTGCCTGTGTGCCTGTAATCAGAGCCATCCGTGCAAATTCGTCATCTTACGTGACAGAGATAAATCAGGCTGGCATCAAAGCTGTGAAATTGAATATGAATGCCTTTTTTAAAAAATGAAAAAGGATATTTAAAAGTTGAACAGATGGAGCCGGAAGCGAAGAGGAAGGAGCGCTGGAGAACGTGCTGGATGGGGGTCTGCCTGTCGGTGGGGAAGGGGCTTCTGCCGTGGGGTTCACTCTTCTCTGCCAGCCAGCCTGCATGCAAGGCAAAGCCCCCCCCCCTTTACCTCCCAGGGCCTGGGGTTTAGGGGACCCCTCTCCCACTCACCCCCTTCCTTTTCCCAACCATCCAATGAAGTGGGGAGTGGTCTTCAGACGCCGAACGAAGAACAGATCCAGGTGGGATTGAGGAAAACTCCCCAGGTTTGGCCAGCCCTGCAACAGGCCCTCATGCCAATCAAACGCAGGTCAAATAGAGCAGTGTTTCTCAACCTTGGCAACTTGAAGATGTCCGGACTTCAACTCCCAGAATTCCCCAGCCAGCGAATGCTGGCTGGGGAATTCT